GATTTTTGATTATGGGCCCAGTTTTCAAGTTGGTCCAAATCGGGGTCCAAAATTAAACTTTGTTTGATTTCATCAAAAATTGAATTCTTGGGGTTCTTTGATATGCTGAATCTAACCATGTATTTAGATTTTGGATATTGGACCATAATAGGTGAATGTCCAATTTAAAATTTTTAAGTTCTTAGACCACATTCATTCTGTGTCAGAAACCTATGCTGTGTCAAATATTTAATCACAATCCAAATTCAGAGCTGTATCAAGCTTGAATGTTGTGTCCATACTTGCCCCAACTGTTCAGGGTTCGACCTCTGCGGTCGTATCAAGCTGCGCCCTGCGGAGCATTTTATTCCATTTGTAAAGGGGCATAACTCTAGAACTTTAAAATAGGCGCCACCAAAATTCAAACTGGATATGTGTTTTGTAATAATAGGCATTGTGTATAAGATTCATAACATTTGGTTGAGGCAAACTAAAATTAGAGAACAGAAACAAACAATTCAGCAATTTAGCAATTTTTCCATTTGTAAAGGGGCATAGCTCTAGAACGGTTAAAGTGACGCCACCCAAATTCAAACTTGATCTGTGTTTTGTGGTAATAAACATTGTGTATAAGTTTCATAGTATTTGGTTGCGGCAAACTAAAGATGGAGAACGGAAACCAATTTTGGGACATACGGACGGTCAAGGGTAAAACAAAACTTAATGCCCCCTCCGCTACGACGGGGCATAAAAAGTCTAAAATTGTCATTAAAGGGCAATAACCAATATAATGTGTCAAAGCATAGTTTCAGTCATGTTTCCAGATGTTGTTCTGCTGAGCATATTTTACTGTTTTAAAATTGAGCAACATGTATGTACCTCACTAAAAAGTGAGGTTGAACTCAGGTATGGATTTTTCTCATTTTTTTAAATCCACAATGTTTGGACTCTGTTGGATAGTTGTCTCACTGGCAAGCACACCACAGCTCTTTATTTTATATCAGATGCTTTAAAAGAGTTCCTGCTCCAATAGTAGTATCTGTCATGTTGCATATAAAGAGCAAAATTCTGTTAAATTGCATTTGATGAGGAGAGGACAGGTTTGTGTCTATAACAAAATGGAACATACTCATAGTCATCTCTGAAGGATATTTTATAAAGGTCAACCATATCTTGTTCAAGGTTCAAAGAGGAACAGATGATAGACAATTGAAACCCTGATACCACCTTCACATGATACTACTGTTCGTCAATAACTCTACTTGTGACAAAGTCCTGCAAAGATTGTTGTGTAGTTCCTACAATTGTAGCCTACCAACAAGTATTTTATCCTGACATTTCTGATCATGACCTCAGGGTTTTCCTTTAAAATGTTTTTGAAAAAGGACCAATACCAAATTGATGAGACTTAAAAGGCTAGGGAGCTGGAGTGGTTTGTACAGAAACTTAGCACTTTGTCCGAGTTATCTATTCAGATTTGTGTTTTTTTCACGTTTTGGATTAAGAATCATAATGTAATCATTTCTTTTCTGGTCCCAAGGATACAATTTTGTTTTATATATTTGGTATTAAATTTCTTTCTTTCTAGAGAATTTCATATGCCTAATGCTAGAAAAGATAAATAAAATTAATTGTTCACAAGATTTATTTACCAGTTTCAATTATACTCATGCATTGCCCAAGTGTGTACATTTCACTCTTCATAGATTTCAAGATTTCAAGATTTGTTGAGCAAAAAAAGTTCTTTAACCTACTTACAAATTAAAATTATGATAAACACTGTTACATTGACAAACAAACAAGATGTACTGTGAGCTAATGGTCAGTTATGATACCTCTGTTATAATAAATTGCTTCGCGGAGCGCAGCTGGATATGACCGCAGAGGTCCAACCCTGAACAGCTGGGGCAACAATGGACACAATATTCACGCGTCTGAATTTGGATTGTAATTCAATATTTGACACATAATAGGTTTCTGACACAGAACAACAGTAGTCATAGAACTTAGAATTGGTTATATGATTTGAATTTTGCTTTTGTGCAATACACTATGCTGTTGCGAATTGACCTCCCTCTCCCCCTTTTTTCAAAAAAAAAAAAATTGAAGGATTTTCTTTTTGATTTCTGAAAATTGTTCACCCCCCACCCCCTACACCAATTCCCCCCCCCTCCCCAATTTTTTTAACCTCCCCTTCCCCCTTTTTCCAAAAAAAATTCTTTCCCTCAGTCATGGTCATAATTTCAATTCAAATTTCCAATGGAGTTTGCAACCATAATAACCCATTTAAATACATCATATAAGTCTTAAAATAGAAAATGACATACATAATCATAGCTAAAATTAATTTACCTGAATGAGCATTTTGTTAAATTATTAAAATAGTAACTTCTAAAAATGAATTGACAGCTAATCACCTCAAGAAAATACAAAATTTGTTTATACATAATTTAAAAGCAGTGTAAGGGAGCTAATTCAAAGTTGTTTGAATTACCTCCCTTACACTGTAATTTGTACTTAAATAGTTGTCCATTAACCAGGACACCCTTGTTTTTCTCACTTTTTTGCCCTAATTCCTAAACGGTTTGAGCCATAACCCCCCCAAAGCCAATCCTAATCATCCCTTTGTGGTATAATTTCAGAGAGATCCATACACTGTTCTACAAGTTATTGTCATGAAACTAGAAAAATGCTTATTTGGGCCCCTTTTTGACCCCTAATTCCTAATTGTTGGGACCATAACCCCCAAAATCAATCCCAACCTTCCTTTTGTGGTTATAAACCTTGTTTAAATTTCATAGATAAATTTCTATTTACTAATTACTAATAATGTCCAGAAACCAAATGTCATCTGGACGACCACAACGTGATACCAATATACGACCGCAAAAATTTTTGCGGTCGTATAAAAATAAGGTAAACAAGACATTGAGTGATGGAGGTGAAAGCACATCTTATTGTATAGCATGCTCAAATGAAGCTGGAAACCAAATTTCTGTAGTTGTCAAGAAAAATCTGACAGAAATTTCATGGGAAGGACAGATTTAAAGCAGTATATCCTTTCCTCCTACTGGGTAGAACTGTGTAATCAACATGATTGACTCATGATTTTCCTTTTAACAAACTTTGGTTATCCTATTCCCATACATCTCTGTGATCTTTGACTAAGAAAATTACTTCTGTTCTCTTTATCTGAATGCACACGTTGTCATACTTCCAGAGTCCCACCCTAGGTCAAAGAACCTAATAACAGGAAATAGGTGTCTGACAGAACTCATCCCTTTGAGGTGTTGACCAAATATGAAGGCATTCTGTTCAGTAGTTTAGAGAAATGTGCGACGGAAAAATAATTTCATTGATTAAAGTATCCATAAACAGGAAGAAGTTATCGGACAGACCCCAAAGGTGTTCACACAATACAGCTCAAGCTGCTGACAAAATATAAAGTCATTGTATTTAGTTGTGACAAAAATATTTGTTAGACTAACAAATTGATGGAGGAATGGACAGACAAGGTGATTATAACATAACTCCAACTTCTAGAATAGGGATATAAAAATTTGAAAAGTTTTCGTGTGTCTCACCTACGATTACTGCTGTCAGTATAAAAGTGTAATCTTGACTTAAAAGTAAGTCCATTTATCAGTAAAATACAGAATTCAAAAAAGAATTTGAACTTTGTTGTCTTTAGATTCTTTTTCTTGGTCTTGAAGATTAGCTTCTGTCCAAATTTCATAATAATCCATGATGGTTTACAAATTTATCATGTCAAAAAAAAAATTTAATCCCTGAGTCTGTAAATGTTATCTGTAAGAAAAATAAGTCCATCTATCAGAAAAATACTGAAAATGAAAATATGTTTTCAAAAGTTTGCTTCAGACATTATCTCTTAATCATAAAAAAGTTTCTGCCAAAGTTTCATAAAATTCTATGAAGGTTTGACAAAGTAAATGATGTGTAACAAACATTAACCCCAGACTCTATCTACTTGTTTACTGTAAAAAAAACTAAGTTCATTTATCAGTAAAATACAGAAAAATGAAAATAAATATTTTCAAAATTTTGCTCTGGATACTGTATTTTGGTCATTAACAAGCTTTTGTCAAGACTTCATAAAATTCCATGAGGGTTTGACAGTTATTAAAAAAACTTTAACCACAGACTGAACCTAACTTTTGACAGTGCCAATGCAGACAACAGAATCTAGGATAGCTATGTCTCGCTTTCGCGACATAAATGTCACAGGCTCGACAAAAAGCATTAAACCAAATTAGATTAAAGATTTCATCCAAATAGTACCACAATCCTTTTCTTACATGTCATACATGTTTTGTTTAATCTTATGACTTGAAATGTTTTCCGTCTTGTTAACATTCCTTCATCTCTTTTGTTATAATGCAATAAAAGTACTGCACAAAGTGGAACCTCTACTATTTATACCTCTCCAAATATATTGATTCTGACAATGCATATGATCAATTTGTTTTTTGCTGACAAGTGAAATGACAAGTTGTCATGCTCATTAATGATTGGATTCATGATGATGATGGATTGATGTTTAAAATCCAGTGGAAAATATAACATGCATATCAAGATGAGACCATGTTAATGTGATAGGAATATAGGTACTGCTTTGTATTTGACAAACACTCTAAGTCAGAATTTTAACATGCTACGATGTACTTCACAAATTGACAGTTTGCAGGGGAAGCCATGCACCCAAACAAGACACTTTATTCTGACTCAGAACTGACCAGTATTTGCTCTTACTCCTAAATGCTGTGTGTTTAGCAGAGAATCAGCAAATATCATTTTTTTCGGTCTTGGGTTTGACCAAGCCAGGGATCAAACCCACAACCTCCTTCAGCTAACACACTACCACACCATCCAGGTGGTTGGATTTAAAATGAGAGTTTTACTACTCATTCGTGATATATTAAGATTCTTTTGGGGAATTTTGCACACAAAAAAATCATGAATGCCCTTTATAAGTTTCCCCCATTGTAAAGTAAAATAACATAACACAGTCATTTCTTTACTCACACAAATAACATTTTTCTAGTCAACCATCTTTTAATTATTACAATTTTTCAACTTCTTTTCATATTTCAATTAAAATAGTCTTCCTGCTGTTTTATTAAATTGGATATCAAATGCATGTAAAATAAATGTCTAAGTCAAAATTCAACATCACATGTCTTGCAATTCTACAGGAACTAATTGAAACCATTTTCCACAATCGCACTGCTTCTTTTCACCTTTGTTAAGAATTGTGTACTTAATTTCTACAGCATCTTCATCACCTGTAGAGAAAGATAAATGGATAAACAAAAGCTATGTCATGGAGCAAGAAAAAGCTTAATCTTGTTGTGTTTCCGAAAAATTATTCATGAAATCTTTGGTTAAACTTTCATCAACAATTTTGTAAAATGTTACTATTACTAATTTCATCAGTTTTGTAATTGAAAAAGATACATCAAATCATATTGCTTTTGTAATATTTATCTAGCTTACCATGTAATAAGGCATATTAAATTGAGATTCAAATAGCTTAGTTGGTCAAAATTAATCAGCTACCTAGTGCAGGAAGTTAAGTTTAATTATAAAAAAACTAAATCCATTTTTTAATTATTGTAATATTCATCCTGTTGCATATACACATGTATATGATAAAAACATTCTTGCTGTGATGGCAAATATAAACATCTATATATATAATTTTAAAAAACTATTTGTATCAATGGTTACATATAATTTTGTCATAAAAATATTGGAACTGCAGTTTTCTTTTATTCACTTTTGTATTGTACATGCATTGTAATAAGTAATATATCAAAAGTAAAAACAATAGAAAAATGTTATTATGACATCAATAAGACTTTCTTCAAATGTGAGTTAATGTTATACTCAATCAGTTGTAGATTTTGAAACATTTGCCACTGGACATTACTTCAGCAAAATCAATCGTCAATTACATATTTTACTTTCTTCCAGTATTGTATTTAGAATTATTATAATTTAACTTTACAGATACCAGATATTTAAGAAAATATTTTTCATCAAATCTACCTTGTCACTGACAGGTTATTTATTGTTTATGACAATGTAATAAAATCTAAATAGATTTTGTCAAGCTGCACTCAAATTATCATCTGGAGAAAAAAACAAAAATCCCAATTTGAAGATAAGTAAAAAGGCTACTCTTGAATGGTAAATAGAAAAAAAAACCAAATTTAACTTGACCTGAATTTCAATGTCCATGATATTATGCTAAAATTAAAAGAAAATTATCAAGCAGTACTTATCATTATCCAGGAGACAAAAAGTGTGACACACAGACATTTCCATCACAAAATACCATCCTAATTGAGACAAGGTTATAAAAATTAAGTCTTTTTTAAAAATTAAGGCTGTAAAGAGCCTGTGTCGCTCAGACACCAATATATATGTGCATCTTCAACAATTGCCACTCGCCAGCATTATAGACTAAAATATAATTCATGAATGAAATCTCTTTAAGGTGGATAACCTTTTGATTTTATTCGGTTTATTATTTTTTTCTTATGTCTTCTCAAGATGTTTTTTGTTTTGCAATACATTCAAGATTTTTGGCACATGATATGATACAGTGAAGATGGTAATAACTTCTGTAAGGAGTTGACTGACAATTTCGTTAATTTAATTTTTTTATAGATCTCGTCTTGGTGAAAATTCTTGGTGTTTAAAGTTTATCTCTATCTGTTATAGTTTTCAAGATAACAGGCAAAGGCAGTATGGTTGCCTATAATTGGTTACATCAGAACACATAATTTGCGTGGCAGTCATGCTGATTATTCAATCGGAACCAAAATTACAAATTACAATAAGGACCTTCCAAGGAACATTGCTGCCAAGTTTGGTTCCATTTAGTTCAGTGGTTTCAGAGGAAAAGATTAAAAATGGTTAAAGGGCATATGGACACAAAGTGATGGTAAAAGCTCATCCTGGCTTTTAGCCTGGTAAGCTGAAAAGAATAGATCATCTGTCTTCCATATAGATACTTACATAAACATCCAACTATTCGCCATTCATCTGTAGATGGGACTAAATTTGGACAAGCAAATGTTCCCAATTCTAAAGCCTGTTCCATCATGGCTGGTTCAAATGGATCCTGTAATCATTAAATTCAATTATAGAAAGCACAAATTTTAAAAATATAACATGCTTTGCAGTTAACACCAGTCTGGTGTTTGAAAAGTTGCTAGCAAGGAATTCCAATCTGACAGTAAAAAATCTTCAAATACAATACTTTTTGTTCACAAATTTTGTTAAAAAGCAATGGCAAAAAAGGATATATGAATGAACTCTTCCCCACTAAGGGTTATATAATTTTGCAGATACTCACTTCAAAGGAGGAAGTTCAAAAAGGGTCAATATTGCCCCTTCAAGTTCAATTTCATGAAGCTTTATTTCAGTAATTATAGTCAACTTTCATGAAAAAATATGTAAAATAAATCGGACAACTACAAAAATGAACAAGCTCTGATGCATTTTTACTTCATGACAACATACTTTTGACTAAACTTTGCTTCAGATGACATAGGCCACAAGCATGAACCACCATAATGTTTTTTTTTAAATGTGTATGATCTCATCATAAAATAATTATGTTACTTCATTGGAACGTGATGAAAATTGCCTCTAGTTATCCATTTATTGCATTAAATACGTTATATTCCTTTCCAAATTGCTTGTCAAACATAATTTTATTTTGGTAAATTTTTCTTTGTCCGACATTGAAATATTTATACAAACATGGCACCGATCGGATGCTAACCAACTTTAACCAAAATTTGTATTCTTATGATAATAACTACAGACACACAAATGGCACAACTGACAGAAGATAATGATACCCAAAATGAAAAATATGCATTCAGGGTTTAAACTTTATTTCTTTTCAAGGCGCCATGTGGGCCCCTAGTAAAATAGATTTTGGGGCCCACAGTAAATCTTAATGCTCCAACAAAATTTATGGAAATTATGATTCTCATTTTGGGACACCTAATTTTCCTTTTAAAAACAGTCTATAGAACTGAGGACTGGGGACTCTTGAAATATTTACTTTCATAATGTATATAAATGATCTTGTTGATATGGTTTGTTTTCATTTTGTTATGTTGTGTCACATGCTATGAAATGTAGTGTAATGACAAAAAAGATTTGAATTGAATTGAACTATATAGAAGATATTTAAATTTTACAAATTTAAGCAACTTAAATCATTGTAAATCAATAAATTGAAACTATGCATTTGCATTGAAATATATACATTTAATTATGGGGATCCAACCAAATGTCTCTTTATGGGTGTGGAATGCATATTTTGTACTTTTTGTGATCATTATTTTTCTGTCAGCTGTGTACTTCCTGTGTCTGTAGTTATTATCGTAAGAATACGGATTTCGTTCATAGTTTGTACATGTACTTATCCAATCCATGATTTGTATTTATTTCAATGGCGAACGAAGGAAAATTCACAAAAAGAAACAATGTTTGACAATTGATTTGGAAAGGTAAATTACGTTAAACTGAGATGAATATAACCTCAGTGGTCATGTATCAGACCAAATCATTTCTACAACAAAGTTCGGAACCATAACATGCCCACAAAACAAAACAGCCATAAGAGTTTGACACATGCATGCGTAAATGAAATCAAGTTGTGAAAACAGAGCCTGTGATCAGGTGATCCTGGCCCTAGACTGGTACCCGGTTGTTATTTGTATATTCCGAAGGAATACTTAATATATTACGCAGGGATCCAACCTTCGCTTTGCGTCAGTCATAAAGTGAGCTAGGATTCCAGGCTTCGAAAAAGACCAACTGTTTTTAAGCCGGTTTTCGGCAGATTATTGTTCATCTGAGCGGATCCCAGTTGTGTTAACATACGAGTTTCCATAAACTTACACTCGATATCATGCGATTTTTAGCACTCGCTAACAAAATTACATATTTATGAGCCCACATCAAAAAGGGGTGACTGCTAATTTCAAACCCTGGCATTGAACACGCATTAACAGAATTTGGTTTTCAGTTTCAAAAAGAGAAGTCACTTCTCCCTATGATTCTGAAGTAGTGTCTGCCCTGCTAAACCTGTACATTTTAAAATTAATCATGTTTGTAAAACCAATTCAGTGTTGATTTCATTAACATTTTGGCTGAAATCATTCAGTGCTACACAGTAAACTTTTTTGTGTTCTCTAAGCATTTTTGATATCATTTACTTACATCAATCCCTGCAGCACTACCAATAAGGTCAAATTTTTCTGCTCCTTCAACAATTTTTATACTATCATCTACTCCTATTGTATCTGCTATCTTTTTTTCCTTTTTGCCTGTAATAGAAAATTAACACAAAGTGGATTTTAATATCAGCATTCAACAGAACACTCTGACTGTACTCTTGAGTCTTAACAATGAATGCAGAGCAAATAAATTATATAATAACACAAAATTATAATTTAAATAAAATACATATAACAAATGAATAACACTACACTGAAATAAAATTTGGCTAATTTTGGTTATAATAAAGAATATCAATGACACAATGACAGATTGTCATAAAACAATATGATTAAACAAATCTGAAGTTCTGATGTTTTTGACAAAAACTCGACAAATAAAATACATTTCTCAATGTTCTAGCAGTTAACAGAATTGTGCATACCGAATAAAGGCTTGTATAGTTCGTGGTTTTATTCTCCAAAATTGAACCTGCAAGACAGGGGTGCGGACTAAAGGGTACGATAAGCAAGAAATAAGAGTATAAATTTGATTTCATGAGGTGGTTTGTTTACATTCCGCCATGTTTGTTATTGATATTGTAGAGGGCGCTCTTATCATTTTCAAAACGACTAGTTCTAACCTATGTTAATTTTATTCAATATCAAATATATACTGATAAATTTAAAAATTAAATGCTTCACTACAAACTTCTCGTTTCTTTTCACTGCATTGCTTAAAATAAACTGAAATCTGCTTGAATTTAACTGAACGAAAAAAGTATACAAGTCAACATTAAACCAGCTTACGATGTATAAACTACAAAACGTAATCAGTTATTCGTTCCGTTTTGGTGTTTCATACTGACGCATGTGTTTTGTTTTAGCTTAAGATCCTTCAAACATTAAGGTGATAGATATATTAAACATTATTTTACACAAGGATGGAACTGTTTTACTTTCAAAGTCGTATTCTAGTGATATCTATTACATGTATTAAGTATGGATTTTCCGTACACTCTTACCGTATTTATTTTCTTTTACACATGCTATTCAAACTTCTGGTATAAACATACACAAGTTTCTAAATTGTTTTTTGTGTGATTTTGACTGATTTAAAACTTGTGAAGTGTTCTAGAAACATTTACAAGCAGTTTCAACTTCTATTTGATGATGGAAAACAGGTTTGGAAAAAATTCCGCAAACGACAACACACGATTTAAAATTTAGCAGAGTTTCATTAGACATTATCTAACAGTTACAAAAAGCTTTTTTTAACTGAAATATCGTGGTGAGAAGGGGGGTGCGGTCAATGTACCAGTGCGAACTATACAAGCACGATTACGGTAACAAAACTTGATCTAGGATACCCTGGACTAAGTTTTCATAACCTACAGATTTCAAATCAAAGAGCTATCTTCCTCAAAAACTGAGAATACATTAAAGAGATAACTGTCCTGGAAAATGTATGATCAAAGAACTTGTGATAAAAAAATGTTCTTCCACATGTACACAGAAACAAAAAATACCAGTGATGATAAAATATTACTGGTATACTGGTGTGACTGTTACAGTGCAAACTGAAGATTGAAATGTAGTCTTTTATTTCCTGAGTGTTGAAATATACATAATTGCAGTAACATTTGAAAAAAAAAACGTGCATAAAAAGGTTAAACAATAACCAATGACTTATTTTTTCGTTTTATTATTTACTTCTATTTTAATTTTCAACCACAGCTGGTTTCAATGAACAGGTCTTAATTGCACAAGAAGATTTCAAGAATAAATTCTTTAAATACCATAATATCACACAAGTTTTACTCTAAATTCAAACAATACATGCATACTACAAAATTATCATGTCTAGTCTTGTGCCATGGAACCATCTATTTTTTCTTTGCATACAGGGATTTTTTGTCAAGAAATTAAACTAAATCCTTGGCAAAAGTAGGGTTTGTCAGGTGACAATAAACTAATGATGTTGAATTCAGCTTCACAGAAATGTACATGTACACGCTAGCAGATTTAACAGGGAAGAAAGGTACTCTCAAAGAACAGTGATTCAGATTTCTCTTTTTGCAGTGTATATTTCCATGTACTCAAAAATATGCAGCAATTGACATTTTAATAAGCCTGAGGTGTACAGTGTTGCCTGGCTTTCATGTTAGCAACCAGCATTATGCCAACTCATTTACGTAGCAATACTTTTAGCAATAAAATCAAATTTACTAGATGGTTTTTAAGGCCATAAGGGATTTTGAGGACAGCCATATCAGTAAACTGCTCCAAACTTAGAATCCCAAAGGTAGACTTTACAGAATGCGCTAAACTGTAGGACAAGTCCTTCAATTATACTATCTGGCAGACAAATTTTGGAAATTCCCCAGACTAGGTGTCCTGTAATCAATAATGAGACATCCTGTGTTCAGTAGCAAAAATACAAATATGTTTAGATATGGATTTTCTAGCTACAAATGTTTTGATAAATCTTGAATATTGTATAGCAACTATCTTATGTTGGAAAACACTTATTTCTTTTAAAGACATTGATTTTGTGTTTACATCTACCAGATATGGGGTTTTAATCAGACCAGTTTAATGAAAAGCTGGTAATTTGTTCTGGATTCTTAAGATATCTGACTTTCCCTGAAAACTTTGGTTTGACTGACTTTTGGTCAGACAAATAATCATAGCAGTTTAACTGACCAAAACTCTGCATGAAGTTGGTAGTAGAATTAGTATAAGGGATGATACTGCTTGTTGTATAATTGACCAGCTCAAGGTGTTCTAACTCATTAAAATTTTCCCAAATAAAGTTTGGTTATTACAAAATAATTGTTAGGATGGACAAATAAGAAAAACGACTTGTGCCTAATGCCAGTAATGGGGGCATTTGATCATTGAACATGAGGCCAAATAAAAATATTTGTGTGGTTCCAGTTTCCTGACCGACCCTAGCTAATCAAAAAAAAAAAAAAATCTGACCTACCGACCTCATCTTTTTTAAGGATGTAACTTGAACTACACATACATTTTTACTTGGCCTGAAACTAATTGTACCAGTTATAGAAAAAAGCTGCAACAACAAATTACATGGTGGTGATCAAGTTACCGCTACAAAATCTCTTCAAGACTCTTGTGAAAATACAAGAAAGGTTTTCTTCTTTTCAGTATTTTTGTAAAAAATGATAAAGGAGCATACAAATTTACTGCCTGTAAACATTTGACTGAGGAGTTTATTTCCTTAAATTTGTATATCCTAAATGTCTGATTTCTATAGAAAATATGATTACAATGTAGCAAGGAAAATATGCACAAATATCCATAGGAGCTCATCAGGTAGCATAAGCCTTATATTATTTGTTGTACGCTGTATATTTCCTTTAATTGTTTGCATTTTCTTAGTCGGTTATTTTCACCTTGAAAGTTGAAAAAAAGTATTGCCAATGACAATGATCCTTGTCAAATATACGATGTTTATAAAATGCTACGATTTACTGATACAGTCTATAACTTGCATAGAAACCGGCCATTTACTTTACTAATGAATCATAAGATCACTGAAAATACCGGTTGTAGTATTCGTGCTAGTATGGGAAATGGAACTTTTTCAATCACGGATGTTTGCTATAACAACAGCATCGTATATGACTTGAGGGTAAAATTATGAAAATTGCATACTCCAGTGACCCAGTTCTTTTTCCCTACGACAGGCAGTGGTTGACAAAGGCCTCGCTAAAGGCAAGAAAGCCCTTTTTAGCACGTTGTATCCCACTCTGCAGAGCGGAGAGGCCATATTTTCAGAAGGTCATTAAAATCTCGAACTTGAATTATTCTCGCGTGATGCGAGATTTACATTAGGTTTTGTGGTGAACTCGGTCCGTATGCAATTCGTCACCAATAGTCTTCAGATGATTTACAGATAACTATAATGAATCGATTAGAAGTTATATCACATGAGACTATTACACTAATATATTACAGATATAACATAAGTTAAAAGCGGAAGAAATGTTCTGGAATATCATAGTACAGCATTTGTCAGCCTTGATAAAGGAATAATAGGTATAGAATGTGTTCCAACATTATCATTAAACATTAAACATATTTTATTTCCAATTTTGAGCCCATGTGGGGAATTAGATTCATACATGTAAACAAGGAATTGTATATTTAAATATACAATTCCTTGATGTAAATACGATAGAACGATACAGATAAAGATAGCAATAAGATAAAATATGTTCTGACACATGGTATTATTTGAATCATTAATATATTTTATGTGCCAGATATATTGAAAAGTTTAAGTACAATTTTAATCATTTGTATGATGTCAGAATACTAATGTTTATAGAAATAATACGTGAACTTATATTAAGGAATAGCTTTGTTTCTTAATTATTTCATAGTTGATTTGCATAAAATTTGAAAGTATGCATAAAATGGTTTTGACTTCATTAGCATGAACCTCAATAAAATTGCCCCCAATTGTACAACAATAAATAGTTTTGACATAATTGACCAATTTCAGTAGTCTTCATTTTGTCGTTCCTTGGCATAGAGTGGACATTCAAGTGGAAAATGATATTTATCATGAACTTTAGATAATGCACAATGAGTGCATAACCTATTTTCTATTATGACTAGTTCTAAATCACAGGCACTTGGGGAATGGACCCTCCCTTTTTTTTTTTAAATATTTTGTTTTTGTATTTCATTTTTTTTATTTAACACCCTGTAATATTCTAACTTATTCAATGTGTTCTTGTTATTTTCTATAAGATGTTACAATAACAGTAGTTTATTTATTTTGAACCTCTATTATTATTTTCCAGGCGAATTTTGGAATCTGAGATTTTTTTGTGAAAAAAAAATGATCAGGTGCCTCTCCACAGTCAGAGATATTGCAATCGTTAGCCGGTCGTTGTATTTTGTTATACATGTATCTTAATGTTTTATTATAACTTTTAAGACTAGGAAGGACCAAGTTTATAGCATGATATATGTATGTATAAACACCTGACAATTGTATTTTTTAAGACCGTATGTCGACCTCTAGATGTATTTTTTGTTTCGTTGGCTTACGGTTTCATTGACTAATAGTATATGCCATCTGTTTGTTCACGTATAATAAAAAAGATGTTAGATGTTTCTGTGCAACAACTAAATTTGGAACCTCCTCAGTGATTGTCACTGGTCTTATTTTTCTTTATAATTCGGTGTTGATATTTAATTTTTTATTCCACAGTTTAATTATGATTTACAGCGTGTGATTACTGTTGTCTATATAAGAGTTTTCAGAGTTGTGGGCGTTCATCATGTTGCACCATTTTAGGCCTATGACTACCTGCATACAATGTGTTTATTTTTTATGATTTTCTTTGTTGCACTCTTGTCTCATTCAAGTTTACTCCGTAATACTTTTTTACTAATGATACCCGCCGGGCCCCGCCGTCTAAAATCCTTTCACCCACCACTGCCACTATACTGAGACATCCATCAGGACAATAAAGGCCAGATAATGTTTTATGATTGTAAACATTCTTTTTTTAATTCGAGAAAAGGACAATCATATCATCAGAGCTAAAGCTAAATTTTGGATGTCTAACAATTGTCCTTTACTGAGGAAAGAAAAAAGGTCTCTTGATACAAGATTACAAAAAGACAACAATAATGTATACCTTCGTCAAACTTTTTCGAATTGTGTAAAACATTATAATAAGCAAAAGAACGAGGTTAAAAGCAGAGTTTTAAAGGACTTGTATATGTCAAACTAATAGTCTAGACTATAAAGACTCAAAGTACTTTCGGAAATCAATAAACAGTCTTAAAAATAACAAATCAACAGGCACCCAGTCCTATATCAAAGCAGGAATGGGCGGGACTCTACAAATCTTTGTTAAACTCAGATTTAAAACTTAAATTTTCGGGCGAACTTGAAAACACGAAAAACACCCATTGTTCTCTGGATTACCCATTTACTTGTAATGAAATTTTAATAAAAAGGCATTTGACTGTGTTGTAAGGAAGGCATTACTGCCTCAATTGCTAAAAAAGGGAAAAGGTGGCAAATTTTATGACTTGATAAAACATATGTATAGCAATACATTATACTGTTGTAAAACAGATGGTTTCATAAGTGAATCATTCCAGGCGAATTTGGGGGGTCAAACATGGGGATAGCCTTAGTCCTACCCTATTTAACATCAGAAATTTAGCCTTGCAACAGGCCACCCACGGACCCCTCAAAGAGTTGTTGCAAGGGTTCTTAACGTGCAAAGATCGTGGCACTCTCTTTACACGAGGCATCGGATTTAACGTCCCCATTCTGACCGGACGTGACTGCGAACTTGTACATCCCGCACAGCCAAACGGACGCCCCACTTTAGCGAGGGTTTTACCGCCGGTCGGAGGAAGACCAATGCTGACCATATTTCTATTCCCCAGTCATCCTTGGGGGTTGTATTAAAATATGCATTCATAGAAGATAAAAAAAAATTGTATTCGCAGAAGAGCTCTTGCTGGCTGAAATCATTATATAAACTAAAAAAGTTACTTAATTTGGATTCACTTCAAGTATAATATACTGTGTTTGATGATTTACTAAAAAAAACTTTTATAAATGCAAGATATTAAATCAACCTGAGCATTTTAAATCTAATAACACAGATAAACTCAGATTTTCATGATAGTAAAATTTGCTCATCATTTGACTCATAGCTTACATAAGCTTTGAAATACCAAAATATGAGAGATCACTTCTCACATTAATAAGAATTAGAGCACATTCACTTGCAATTGAAACTGGAAGATACAGTAAATCCAAAACTTTTTTTAACATATCTTGCGGAGATGAAGTAGAAGATGAAGTGCACTTTCTTTTATATTGTCCTCTATATAAAAACCTTCGAGAGAAGTTAAGTATTTTCCAAAATTTGATTAAAGATGATGATATCAAATCAGTAATATATTTACTTAATTCAAACAATTTGGCTTATACCGAACAAATATGCTATTATTTGAGACAAGTTTCGAAGTTCATAATAACGCTTAGTGTCAGTTGGTGTACCATAAGTTATGGAAGTATTATACAAAAAAAAAAGTCGAAGTATTGTTTTATTGACCATTGTGAGTATTTAGAATGTGTTTAATGCAATGATATTGACAATTATACATTTATTTATATTTACGATTGTGACTATTTCTATTCTGGCACGTTAAAATAAACAAAAAATAAAACAGTTTTCCATGCGTATCCCTTTTTTTAAATTTTGCACGACAGCTAGGTGCCTTGTGTGGTGCATGATCTGCTTACCATTCCGGAGCAACTAAGATCACGCCCGGTTTTTGGTATGGTTCGTTTTACACAGTCTTTAGTTTTCTATGTTGTGTTTTGTAAACTGTTGTTTGTCTTTTCATCGTTTTTGTGTTTTGTCATAGCATTTTCAGTTTGTCTTCGACTGCATGATGAGTTTTGGGTAACCCTTTGGTATCTTCCGCCTTTCTCTTATAAGTTATATATACATATTGATAAATAAACAGATGATACATTTTTGAGTAAAATTCATGTTTAAGCCCTTCAACGAGAAAATATTTACCCTAGACGACTTAAATATTCAATTCTTTTCAACATCTTTTGAATATATGATCATTATATCCCATTCATTTCTACTTTCTAGGCTTTCGAAAAAAAAAATCCTAACTTGTTGCTTTGTCCGAGTATTTCTATCGAACTATCGGCCTCCAACGGAACAATGTAATCAGGTTACAATTTGACAATTTACTGAGTGTTACACTGAACTTAAAAAAAAAAAACAGAAAAAAACTGTTACGGATGTAAAAAATAAAATACACAAAAATATCAAATTTCGACTACTAAAAATATTTTATCGGTAGTTCGTACCAAACAACTCGCCCCGATCCTGTGTGAAGAGAACTACCGGTATACGTGACTCACTGCGTCTTCTAGGCAAGATAGACATTTAAAACGCTAACCCAATAACAGCTCTGTATTAATTTAGGGCACCAATTTCATTTCACATTATTTGTTGATTTAAGAAAGGTAATCGGCGAACAACGACCTTTTCCAAATGAAACAATTTATCTATGAGATGGGCGTCAAAAAAATAACAATACGAATTAAAAAAAAAAATATGCGGGTAATATGTTATTTTTTAAGTGTCCACTTTTCGAGTGCAAATTGCCACAATTTCCCTATTATGTTTGCAATAAGCAACTTTACCGTGACTTATTTAATTATCAGATAATAATGTTTCATCAAAACTGGGGACTATATTACAATGTCAGTATATTAGTCCAAACAAAAACATAATATGCGTAAAAATGATAACTTAGATACATATTTAATCATCACATGTAAACAATCTTTTCCACCACACAAGGAAACAATGTGTAAAACGAGTGACGGATTCAGAGGGGAAAAGGGGGACGGCGTAGAGGGCCCATGCCTCCTTTTGATTAGGAAATACATAATTGTTTAGCATGAAATCGTCCAATTTTATTTTCATATGGTGTATATTCCTTTTTCTTAAATTATGCCCCCTTTAAAAAAACTCCCTGTGTAAACATAACAACAACTTTACGGGAATAGGAAGTTTTTTTTCGTGTGTGTCCATTTTCAGCTATTTAATTTCAAGGTTTCCTGAAAAATGTTATGGTCCTTTAAAACGTTTTATGGCGCTTCATCTGCATATAATGTAGACATGATACATAAATGAATAGGAAAGGACCGTGAATGTAAAGAAAATAAAAGTTTTAGTTTTAACCAAGCTGGTAGAAAAAAGTGTCAAATAAAATATGCAAATGATATCGAAAATGTACAGCAG